CCGCGCCTGCTCCCGGGCCGCGCCGTCAGGCAGCGATCTGTGCAGCAGCTCACAGCGAAGGGAGGTTCTCTTCGCTGTGCCTTGATTTTGGCTTTGGCGGGGTCGGGCGTTTCCCTTTACGGTTGGCTCTGCCGTTCTGGCGCAGGCTGTGAGTCAGATGCGTGTCCGGGGCTCGGCGCTCAGCCAGAGCTCGTGAGCGTGGAGCTCGCTGGTGTGCAAATGTTTAACGTGCAAACGTGAATTCCATGTATACAGCGATAGGGCAAGGAGTAATGGGTATACACCGAAAGAGGGAAAATTTAGGTTAGAGATTAGGAAGAAACTTTTTCCTGTGAGGGTGGTGAGACACTGGCACAGGTTGCCCAGGGAGGTAGTGGCTGCCCCAACCCTGGCAGTGTTCAAAACCGGGTTGAATAATGCCTTGAGCAACTTGTTCTGGTGGGAAGTGTCCCTGCCCATGGCAGGGGGGGTTGGGACTAGGTGTTCTATAAGATCCATTTCAACCCCTTAACATACTATTATTCTGTATTTTTTTCAAAATTGAGTTTAACCTTATGCTTTTTTGACACAAATAACCTTGCATGTGGTGTATAGTGTCTTGGAGTCAAAGGGGAACTCTGATGTATATGTGGCATACAGCAGGCTCTGGACTACCAGTGCTATGAGTTAGGTTTCTGAGAATAACAGGTAGGTCCTTGTGATTGCTGGGGTTTTTTTCCTGCTTTTCTCTTTCCTTGCACACAGCTGTACTAGTGGAGACTGTTTATTCTGCTTGTTACTGTGCCTCCGTTGGGCTGTCATGGGGCTTTGTGTCAAAGTCTTTCCCAATTCTGATCAGGCAGAATCGATTGTTGTAGTGTAAACTAAATAGACAACATGAACTACTAAAGGGAATGTCACCTGAAGTGCATATATTTGAAAATACTTAACTGTCAGAAATGCCAGGAACTGGCATTGTGAGGGGAAGGGAGCAGAACATCTGGACCTGAAAGAGACCCATTTAATCTCTGGATTAAATGGCGGTATAAGTTTTTGGAAGCCCATATGAGAGGGAACAAGTTTTCTGAGTTTCTTGTAATACTGTAAATTTTGTGGTCATGGCCGATGACATTCTTGTATTACCTGTGTTTGGTTTTTGGGGGGGTGGGGGGTGGCTTTTTTTGTTGTTTGGTTTTGGGTTTTTTTAATCCCCACAGTAAAGCTTATGTGGAGTTGGTACAGGATTGAAGTTCTTTTGGTTCATGCCTTTTTAATGCAGGTTTACTGTAACTGAAATGAGCAAGTTAAAATAATACTTGTTTATTCAAAAAAATTCTTCTAAATATACTGAAACAAGGGAAACTCTCTTGTTGATGTTCTCTTGTTAAAACTGCCTGTTGAACTTAAATATTTCTATGTGATGGGTTTTATTTTTTTGCTGTTCTTGGTGGCTTTTTTATTTCTTGAGAAAGTTTAATAGGTGCTAATTAATATCAGTTTGGTACTCTGTATTTTCATTCATTTGTTTATTCTTACAAGCAGGACCAGTCTTCAGGGCTGTTGATCCAGGAGTGTCACAGAGGAAGAGGCCTTCTTACTGCTTTCTCAAGCATCCCTCCGAGATGGTTTGCTTGAGAACATGTCTGAGACTGTAAAAAGAAGCTGTTCTTCTGAGCTGGGTCTGAGATGATGTTTCCAGGTGTTGGGAGAAAAGGGGCTTTATTGTCTAGTCCAAACATAAATGTTATGTATCAGTGTGACCAGTTGGAGATTATATTCTGGTGGTCCAAAGCCTCTGTGACATGCCAACCTATCTAATTCCTGCTTTGCACCAGTAGCTGTTGAGGTACTTGCACTCCTTCTTAATCAGTGTTCTCTGTAGTATATTTTAGCCAGGTGCAAATGCTTTGTTCTAGTTCTAAAATTAGAGTTAAGACCTGACTTCAGTGACCTGAGCTCTTCTTCTTTCCATTTGTGGGGAGTAGTTATTCTTTCTGGCCCATGCTTTCTCCTGCTGGCAAGAGCACTGCCATGGCTTTGTTTCCTACATTTTTGTTTCTTTCTATCTTAAAAAAACCCAACAACAAACAAGCAAAACCTCACAAAAATAAAATACAACCAAAATGCTACTTGGTTTTATTTGAGTTGGTTTTGTTTGGGGTATTTTTGGTCTTCCTATAGTACTGAATTGCATAGTTTGTACCCTAACTTTCTGGAACTGGAATGCCAAAACAAGAAAACTTTTCACAAAAGAGTCATCTTTATACTGGAAAAAGATGAGAAACATCAATTATTGCCTACTGGGAGGAGCACCATGTTGTATGTTTGTTTACATGCCGTTAGGTCATGGTGCTGCAGTTTGGTACATTGAAATTTTCAAGTAAAGAAAGCTGTAATGCTTTGAATCCTGTGGGACAGTTAGTGGGTCTGTCTCCTTCTAAACTTCTTGGCCACTCTGGTTCCTGAATTACTTTAAGAATAACTCACATTGAGATTTTTAACTTAGAGCCAACTTTTGCTGGGCTTGCTGTTATCAGTTCTGTAGATAGTTTGGAAAATTGTAATGCAGGAGCTAATTATAGCCTTTTGAAAAATTTATTTTGTAAGGATTTACTTTTGTCTTTAACTCGTCCTGCTAGGAGCTGCCTTCATACAAAAATAGAGAGGAGATAAGGGAATGATGAGAGAATACTAACCACCTTAAACATAAAACACTTGACAATTGTTACCCTGATGTCTAAATTGCATTTTGTTTCAGTGCTACTGTTAAATTTCTGCAAAATGTGTTTGTTAGAAGGAACTTACCTTTTCCTAAAAAGGCTCACAAGTGGGACTGAGAAGTTACTAGAAATAAGTTATTCACCTGATCTTTTGTCAATTTAAGAACAAAATTTTCAAAATTGTGGGCTCTTCTGGCTGCTGGTACCTGTAATTTCAGCGACTGTAGGCAATCATGATCATTTTATTCTTGGGTTCTGTGTTAAATGTAAAGTTTGTTCTCCATTTGCCATGAAACCTCTAAAATGTGTCATTTCCCAAAGAAATTAAAAAAGGCTTAATTTTCATAGTGATGACTTCTCTGATTCTTTCTGTCCTCATTCTTCCCCTTCATCTGTGAAAATAGCTCTGGAAATTTATTTCTGTAACTTTCTGAGAAGTAGTCAGAAAAGAAAGTGTGTGGGCTTGGGTCCTGCACGGTTGGCACTGTGTGAAAGGGGAGCATTTTGGTTAGAAATTCAATTCATGCTTCAGTGTATTTGAGTGTTAGATAGGGCGAAGTTGTGCTGTTGATGTGAATGATTCTGTGTCTCTGCTTAGCGTTTAAGAATGAAGTAGTCACATTGGTTGACATTTCAGGTCAGAGGTGGACTTGTAACCTGCTTTGAAAAGATGTTACAGATTTGTAATATCTTTCTGCTTCCTCTAACATTTGCTTTCCCATTTTGGTAGCATGGGGGCAATAACTAGGTAGAACTAATGGAATGATCTAACAGAGAAAAGTTCAAATTTGCCACTGGTCTAGGAAGTTCTATCAGCTCAGCCAGGATTTGAACAAATGCTGGAGTTACTGTCAGGGGAACAATGGGAGTTAGAGCTGTGGAAGGAAGGAAGGAGATAGGCTTCTTCCTTCTGCTCAGGGGCAGCGAGCTTGGACTCTCGGACTCTTGTCTTGCCTAGCTGTGTTGTGTGTTTTGGGAAAGTGACTGATGGCATCGGACAGAAATTGAAATAAGGGGTGGTGATGTTTTTTTTTTTAAAATAATTTTGAAATACAATTATTGCTAATAGTCTTGTTTTGTAATAGCTCAACAGGAGGACTTAATTTTGGAACTCTGGGCTCTTCCACTGCTACAGCAACTACATCAGCTCCTTCAGTGGGCTTTGGGACTGGACTTTTTGGATCAAAATCAACCACTGGCTTTACGCTAGGAGGCACCAGTACAGGTAGAAAATTCTTGTGCAGCAGAAATTTGATTCAACAGTGAAGAAATAAATTCTATGTACAAAAAACTGAGTCATCATACATGTTTACTATTTTACAGTAGTTATGTAGCTCAGAATATTGCTTACATAGTTTTGTGAAATGACTTCATTGAGCAGTTTAAAAGATCATTCATTGAGAATGAGGCAGTACTAATGCTGCAGAAACACAAATGCGATTACCAGAAAACTGCCTGGGCTATGTGTAAATTGTTCTGTAATGTGAATCCTGATGTTTTCTAGAAATCTAACCCTTCATCCAGGATGCTGAAAATTGATTTAAGATTGAGGTGTATTTTGATCTAAAAATATTTTAGAACATTGAGATTGTTAGCAATTGTAATGCAGTATTTTTAATCCTACAGTAGTAAATATTTTTGGTTTTGTCGTTTGGGGGGTTTTAATGTTAGCAATATGCACGAAGAAATTGAGTATTTCCTTAGGTCTCTAATTCAGCCTATGAACGAGAGTTTCTTTTAGGAGTAACTGAGCACAAAAGAATAAAGCTTTTCTCACTGGAGGTATTTTTTTTCAGCCATCAAGCAGACATAACTTAATGAATTTTACTTTGGTTCCAATATTGCTAGACAAAATAGTCTTTTCTTCTATGCTTATAGGAGTGGATGGGGAAAGTTCTAAGAACCAATCTAGTAGAAGTAGATTCAACAGTAGACTGAAAGTGTACAATCCAATGTGGTCAGCTACATTGGGGTAATTTTGTCTCCTGATGATTCTTTTGATCTTCTAGTCAGATGGTTTTTAAAATATGAGATGACATAACACTCTGTTCAGCTTAATCTTAAATTACCAGTGGGGCAGAAACCCTAAACCAAGACATAGTGTTTTGCAAAGAATTTAGACTCTCTAATCCTCTTCATTATTCTGTAAATCTGCTGGTTTACATGCTGATTTTATGTACTACCATATGTCTGAAAGAAATAATTGATAGAATTACTAGTTTCCATATTTTTTACCTTCATTTATATCAAGTTTTAGACAGTTTGCAGTACTGCTGCTCTAACATCAGCTTCACTGTTAGCAGCTTTTTATAAGGAAAAATGTTTTTTTGAAGTCAGTTATGCTTTGATTTGTGCTGCTGGTGTTTACACATACTGTTTTCTATGTTAATGTGTTATTTTCAACACGCTGCAGAAAAAAGCTTGTGTAATAGTCTACATATTGTCTCATAATGTTGTATTACTTCAGTGTTTTGTTTTATGTATTTTACTGTTGTAACTTCTCTGTGGTCTTCAATTACTGCTCTTACTATGTTCTCATTCTTAAAGCAGGAACAGCAACAACTATGGCAACAGGACTGGCGCTAGGTAAGGACCTGGTTTGGATTTTAATGTTGCACAGACATAAAGAACCCCAAGAGATAGATCTTTCTCGTAATGTGGAGATCTAGTGGTCATATATGAGAGCTAGAGTAATGAGGAGGGTTGAACCGAGAACTGACTTTGAGAATATTTTGTGTTTCTCTGATGCATCTGTGGTGACTATTTTTCAAAACCAGAGGTTTGAGATGAAATTGAGCTTGAGTATCACAAATGTTAGGGGTGGGAGTGGTGCCACAAGACACACTGAAGTCAAAGAACTTAGGAAGCCGTACTATAAATAAATGGGGGAAAAATAGTGTTGAATAAAGAAGCAAATCAAATGGGCAGAAGAAGGGAGGAGCAAGTGGCTAACCCAGAAGAGACTCTGTGATACATGGAAGTCAATACTATGTAGATGAACATGAATTCTTTTCAGTAGCTGAATGAAATTACATCATCCAAACCAGACACACAACAGTTACTGAGAATACCAAGTATGTGTTTCTTAGGCATGCTGTTGTGGTTTGTGTCTGTGCATACTCTTCCTTTACTTCAGAGTATAGATTCTAGAATGTAATATATATTCTTGCGGTGAAAACAGCAGAAAGTGAGAGCTTTATTTGTTTTACCTTAAAAGTGTTCAAGAGCAATGTTTGAGGGAATAACATCTCAACATATTTTTCTTGTTTACAGATGGAAGGAATATGTGCATTCATTTTGTTATGCACATCCAATTGAGAATTTTTTGTAGTTTGTATTTTAAAGAGTATTGTTTCTAGTTCCATTTACCAATATTTGTCTCATCTCCTAGATGCTCTTGGTGGCAGGTCTTCGTTTTACAGTTCTTTAGATTGCCACTAGATATAATTGCCAGTCCATGATTAAAGTCTGTGGGATACCTTGAAATTCGAGAGCAAAAATTCCTCTGCGATTAATGCAAACCATTGAAATTTATTTGAAAGTGCTGTGGGGATATTTTACTTGATGCAAGTGATCTTGCTTGCTGTGGCACTCATGATGGTTAAATGGGAAGAATGCAGAAAAGATGGTGAATTCAGCCTTCATTCTCAAAACACAATGTTCCAAGAGTGATAATTGGGTTTGGATTTCTTTTAGGCACACCTGCCACCACGTCAGCAGCTACCACAGGCTTTAGTTTAGGTTTCAACAAACCTGCAGGCTCAGCCACACCATTTGCTTTACCTGTGACTTCTACCTCAGCGGGTGGCCTGTCCTTATCATCTGCTCTGACATCAACTCCTGCAGCAGGTAAGAAAATGTTTAGGAGTTTGGGGGGGTTTTTTTGATTGCTTTTGTAACGGTAAAACTTTATTCATAAAACAATTCTACATTCTGTTTTTCTATTATTTACATAGTTTTGTGGTACTTTTGGAAGAAGCTTCATTGGACTTACCTAGTTCTGAGTACCCCAATACAGATAGATTATATGTTGTCTATATCACGTGATATGCTGTCCATAATTCTAAGTCTTTAGAAGTGTAGCAAGAGCTGATTCATCCTGTAAAATTATTTTTCCTATTGTTAACGCCAGTGAAGGGTGAAGGCTTCCTGCTGGTGCTGCTGCAAAGGTTAGAAAATGTCTACTTTTTGCAGATGGCCCAAAATGGTTAACTAGTAGTGGAAAAAAGATTTGTCCAAAGTACTTATACTGACATACACCTGCCATCATATTTAACTCAGCTGAACTGCACCGTGTGTGATGTTAAGTCTGGAGTACATTTTTCTTAACCGTAGGAGTCTGTATTTGAGCTCAGCTGTCTGTGCCCATTGTGCTCTGTCCCTTTATGCCTGTGGTCTTTCTTTACCCAGTTCTTCCCGATCATACCAAAAGCTGGGATGCTTAATTCCAGAGGTTGGCTTAAACTACCCTGAAAATGTTCTTGTGTGTAAATATTTTAATGTCAAACATAAAACATTAAAATTTCAGCATTTTAATATAAGAATTAGTAGCAATTATTAGTTCCATTTTGCTGTAAAATAAGTTCTGTGCCAGATTTTAGATTCTCTAGTGTTCTAGGGGACTGCCAAAAATTTTATATGGTAAATATGGACTAATCAGTGTTATGCTGTTATAGATCAAAATAATATGTAATTCAGAAGTCTGTGACTTTGTTTGAAAAATCTGCAGACAGTAAAACCACTTCAGTTTATTGATAAATAGTGATTAATTATGATAAAGATGCTGTTCAGACCTTTCAGTTATTTCAGATTGCTTGTGGATGTATTTGAACGCAGTGTCTGCATGAAGTTCATTTCCTTTCTCTGCAGGAACTACTGGCTTTACATTAAATTTGGGTGGCACAACTGCTCCAACTACAACTGCTTCCACAGGCCTTTCCTTAGGAGGTGCCTTAGCGGGTTTAGGAGGTTCACTCTTCCAGAATACAAGCACAGCAGCAACAGGTGCAAGTTCTATTTGTTTTTTCCTCCTTTTGTCTCAAAACATTGAAATTTACTATGTGCTTTTATAAACTCATAATGTAAGATTTAGTTTATACAAAGTCTTAACACTGTAGAAGTGTAATTTGTAAGTGTTTTCAGTTAATAAGTGTTGCTATCCACAGGCAGTAAAAACGAAATCTGAAATAATTGTCTCTTCCTATTCTTAAATTAATTTATAGTTAACATTTTTTTAAAAATGAAGATGCAAGGAAATCTTTGTCATTGCCATAATTAACTCAAGGAATTTGATGATTAATGGGTGAGGACAATGATATCTAAGTATCTCTATGGAGAAATTGAAAGCTCCTTACTTTGATGGGATTTGGTCTGAATGAAATCTTTCACTGTTAGTATTGTCATTACATGGCTTCCTGTCTTTTTCAGCTCTAGAGGAAGATTTTGTGCTTGTTACAGTCTTGGTAACACTGCTGTTAAATGAAACAGAAAAATATTTGTGCTGTCATAGAATGGTTTGGGTTGGAAGGGACCTTAAAGATCACCTGGTTGCAACCTCAGTGCCACAGCTTGGGATGCCACCCACTGGACCCAGATTGTTTAGGGCCCCATCCTGCTTGACTTGGAACACTTCCAGGGATGGGACACCCACAGCTTTTCTGGGCAACCTGTTACAGTGCTTCACTACCCTCACAGTAAAGAATTTCTTCTGATACCTAGTGTAAACCTACTCTTTTGGTTTGAAGCTGTTCCCACTTGTCCTGTCACTATCTGCCTGTGTGAAAAGTCGCTCTCCCTCTTTTTGATAAGCCTCCTTGAAGTACTGGAAGGCTGCATTGAGGTCTCCCTGGAGCCAGCTTTTCTCCAGGCTGAACAGCCCCAGCTCTCTCAGCCTGTCTTCACTGGAGATGTGGTCCAGCTTTCTCAGCATCTTTGTGGCCCTCTGGGCTCACTCTACCAGGTCAGTGTCTGTCTTGTGCTGAAGACCCCAGAGCTGCATGCAGCACTCCAGATGTCGTCTCATGAGTGCAGAGTAGAGGAGGAGAATCACCTCCCTCAACCTGCTGGCCACTCCTCTTGTGATACAGCCCAGGATGTGGTTTGTTCTTGGGGCTGCAAGTGCACCCTGTTGGCTCATATCCACCTTTTCATCCACAAGAATTCCCAATTTGTCCTCTGCAGGGCTGCTCTCAGTGCGTTCTCCCAGTCTGTACTCAAGTCTGGGATTTCCCCTGACCCAGCTGCAGCCCCCTGTACTTCATGAAGTTCCTGTGGGTCCATTTTTCAAGCTTGAGAAGGATTCCTCTTCTTTCTGTCATATCAGCTGTAGTGCTTGGCTTTGTGTCATCTGCAGACTTGCTGAGGGTGCATTCAATCTCACTGCCTTTATTACTGATGAAGATACTTTAGAGCACCAGTCTTCAACAGAGCCCTGAAGGACACCCCTTGTCACCAGCCTCCACTTAGACCACATTGACTACAACTTTCTGGCTGCGTCCATTCATTCATCTATCTGTCTGATTCCTTACCCACTGCGTAGTCCACCCTTCAAATCCATGTCTCCAATTTGGAAATGAGGATGTTGTGTGGGGCCATGTCAAAGGCCTTACAGAAGTCTAGAAGATGAGTCTTTCCTTCATGACTGTTGCAGTCACTCCATTACAGAAGGCCCCTAGAGTGGTCAAGCACAATTTGCCTTTAGTAAAGCCGTGCTGTCTGTCTCAGATTGCCTCCTTGTGTTGTATTGTGCCTTACCACTGCTTCCATGAGAGTCTGCTCTGTGATTTATTTATTTTTTTCAGGCATGGAGGTGAGGCTCACTGGTTTGTAGTTCTCTGAGTCTTCCTTTGTCCCATTCTTAAATATGGGAGCTATGTTTCCCAATCACCAGGAACTTCACCTGAACACCATGACTTCTCAGGTATCACAGGGAGTGTCTTGGTAACAACATCAGACAGTTCCCTCAGGACCCTGGGATGCATGTTATCATAGACTTCTGGCTATTCAGCTTCATCAAGTGGGCTTGAATCTGCTCTTTGCCTGAGTTAACGAGCTAATTAGCTCCCTAGGAATGTGGAGAAATTGCATAAAACACACGTGTACAGTGGTATGAAACTTCATGGAATCTGTTTTCTGCTCTGATTTCCTGTATTTTTTTCATCCAAATGTAGTAAATGGACACTGAAACTGTGAGCAAGTTTCTGTGTACTTTTAGTTTAAAAGAAGCTGATGCCAAGAAAACCTGGAAAAGAACTACTCAGACTTGAATCTCTGAGCAGCAAGTATTTGTTTATTCAGTGCTGGGCACAAGGGGGGTCGCTCCACCAAACTTGTGCACTGAAGAGAACACTTCTCTGGTTTATATATATTAAAACCTCATACATATTCATTATTTCCAGGAATAGGTTGTCATTATTACAATTAGTTCTTGGAAATCATTATGATAATCTCCTCCTTCGTCTCCTCCCACTTGCATTAGTCCCATGGTCTCTGGTGGTCATCCAGGGGTTGTCGGGAGGAAGGCCGATGGTCTTCATCAGATTGATCTTTTCACCTTTGAGTTTGGCACATGCTCTTGGGTCTTGCTCTTCTGCTGCCAGGTCCTGAGTCCAGTTGCATCTAGTTTTACTTCCTCATAAATACATTGTGTTTATGCTCCCTAAGCTAAAATAATGCCCTAAGTTCTACCCTTTTTATGCTTAATAAACTAAAACAATGCTTTATTAGTCAACCTTTTACCTTCTGTTTATTCAGGTGCTCTCTACTTGACTATTCCCTATCCTATTCTCAGCTTTAACTATTCAATTCCCGCTATTCATTGCAAAAATGCTGTTTGGATTTCTTGTAGGACTTGGGCAGAATGCTTTGGGCTTGACTCTGGGGACAACTGCGGCTCCTTCAACAACTGCCAATGAAGGTCTTGGTGGCATAGATTTTAGTAGTTCTTCAGACAAAAAGAGTAAGTTTGTTTTAAAGCATTCTTCTTTTTTTAGTTGAAAAAATGCTCAGGGCACTACAGCAGAGACTGTATTTACAAATACAGTGAAGTTACTAAGACAGTATTTGATTGTGTTAGTGTGGAATTGAAGCTGTCAACTTTGACTACCACTCTGATACAAAGCATTTCCCTTAATTTCATTGTTAGATGTTGTGCTTCTTCAGAAAAACAAGGTCTTGTTTGCAAATGCAATGTAAATTTAATTATTTTAAAATACGTGTAAACTAATATCATACTTGAAAATCAGGATCTAAACCCTTTTGGGAGTGAAGACTCCTAGGGTTGTTTGCTGAGAAGCCATCGCAGGTTTCTGCTGAGCTGGGTCAGATTGGCACTAGAGGGTGGAACAGAGCTATGTTTAAGTAGTGCATTGCAATTGTTTGAAACCAGCATTCTCCAGCTGCATCAGATCTTAAACTTGGTGTCTTCTTTCAAAAGCCTGCATAATTAAAAGGTCCTCGTATATTGCTAAAAATGTTAAAAAACATTAAAGCTGTAACGCTCACTTGCCCAGAAAGTAGCAAAATCAGATTTCAAATGTGTATCTTTTACTTCTAAGTATTGTTCTGATGTACAGCAACAACAAAAAAGAGTCTGGGGGGAGAAAGCAAAGTATACTTGATTTTCTGCCTATTTTTTAGGTTATAAATAGAGAAAGAAGTCCTAAATTCTGAGGTTTATCCCTTCTACTTTTCCTTTCCACAGTTGTGTACATTTTTTTTCCTGTTAGCAAAAGGTATAGGGAATGGTTGTGAGTGGAGGCTCTCTAATGTACTGTGTGACAGAGTCTGCAGATAATATAAGTACATATTGCTTCTAAGAACAGTAGTTTCTTCTGGTAGGAGCACTGACTTCTGCAGCTTAAAATGTTTGTGGTGCTAGCATGAGCTTCGTAGGTGCTTTCTGCTTTGGTGGCCCTGGGAAGGAAGTCAGGATGTTAACTGCGTTCAGCTGAAGATTAAGCCCATTTCTTGGGCTTTCTGATTGAGCATTCTTCCTGGCAGACTGCTGTGGTATGGGATGCAGTTACTGCCCCCAGCCAGACCTGGAAATAGTCATGATCTGTGTTATGCATTATATGGTTTTCAGCTCCGTTCTCTTACTCAGAGGCATTTGCCATCTTGATCCACACATGTGTAGTTTGGAATGTGCAGGTGGTAGGTAAGCAATAACATTTTCACTTCTGTAAAGCCTCCTCCATTACTGGACTTAATGCAATAGCAGAATTCTTAGAGAAGTCCAGTGGCCAAACGTTTTTACCTTCGTATTTGAGATGAGGCTGCCACTGCTGAGTTTAAACACTTCAATAGTTTGTGGGTGCAGGTCTAAGTGAGTTGTGGTTATTGGAAGAAATCTGGAGGAACAGATTTCTTATGCAACTGCAGTTGTTTATGCATTTGTGGTGATGTTTTACATTACGCTGTGTCAAGAAATTAGCAGCTCAGCTGTTGAACCATTGTGAAAAGATTCTTATCTGTGATGGGAGTGTAAAGCTTTGTTATGGCTAGCCTGGTCTGTTCTGCTTATCAAGAGAAATCAAGCAGATTGTAGTCATTAGTTCTTTCCTAAAAGCTCATCAAGGTTGTATTTGTTTTTATTTTTCAAAGCTTTTTTCTGACCTACAGATTTTATTTTCTAGGTGACAAAACAGGAACAAGACCAGAGTAAGTGTCAGCTTTTCTTTGCATTCCATGTTTTACTAGGAAACAGTTAAACAAATATTTTGGCTTTTCTAACTGATTTAATATTGAAAAAAAGTATAGATGTACATAACCAACATCTGCAATATGGGCAATTTAGTAATGTTGGTTCATTATTCTACACACTGTCATTTTTCTATTAAGTGCAATAGCTACAGCTTATCTGGCATCTGCTATAGACTGATCATCTGGTCTGAAAAATAGTTTGTGCAAGTGTGTCCAGTGCTTGCACCACTGGCTTGGACCCTGGCATAGTATCTGTGTGCATTAATAGAAGTAATTTCCAGTTGCAACATGCAACGTGTTTCATTACTCACTTGAACATTTTAATGATATTTAGTAGTCATACAAAAATGTTTGGCATTATCAAAGCACCATCTAAGCATTCATTTTGTCTCATAGAGATAGCAAAGCACTGAAGGATGAAAATCTACCTCCAGTAATCTGTCAAGATGTAGAAAATCTACAGTAAGTAGTGGTTTTTATTTATGATATTTGATTAGCTAAAGTACTGTATGCTGTTGATTCTCTGTGAGAAGAAAACCCTACTGCAGGCCTCATGGAGGATACTTTACTAGCCCAAGGCCTTTTGGCACGTCTACCTTGGGAACAGAGTAGATGGATAGGTCTAAGCTGAACTTTTAGTCTGGTTCTTTTATTTTTTTCAGTCTCACTTTTTCATGCAATTGTGCAAATGAGCATTCCCAACAATATGCTGCTAGGGTCTCATCCATCTCCCTGTGGGTATTAAGCCTGTTGCACATGCATAGTAAATATTCACCCTTTTGTCCATATTGCATGAGGGTATCTTACGGAACAGAGAACCACAAAAGAGCCTTCCCTCAGGCAGGAAGGAGGTGGGTTGTAGCCTAGGCTGCTTGTCACTGTGTTTGTGAGTTCAGAGTAGTAACTGCTTTTACGAAGATGCTATTTATTTATTTATATATATATAGAGAGAGAGAGAGAGAGAGCATATTATTTATATAACATTTTATATCTTAATTTGTCAGGGTTTAGCAGAACATGTTTAAACACTTGCTGTTTGAAGTTGAGGGGTTTTGGTGGGAGGTGGGGTTTTTTTGTTTGTTTTTTATCAGTATTAGCATGCTAGGAGTTAGTACAGTACTATGCTATACAGTAATTTTACTGTTCAGTACTTGGTTTTGGAAAAATTAATTTAACAGCTATTTAAATAACTTTATGAAGAGGTAAACACTTGGGTACTTCACATCAATATATTGTGTTTCTTTTTTCCCCACCCCTGTCTTTTTACCTCCCCAGGAAATTTGTGAAAGAACAAAAACAAGTTCAGGAAGAAATTAGTAGAATGTCCTCTAAAGCAATGCTTAAAGTACAAGAAGACATTAAAGCTTTGAAACAGCTCCTGTCTGTAGTTGCCAGTGGATTACAGAGAAACACTCTTAATATTGACAAACTGAAAGTTGAAACTGCACAGGTATAGTTGAATATAAATTGTTATGTAGAGTTTGTATGTTGATTATTTTATGGAGGATAATTAGCCTTCCTCATCAGTCAACACATGCATCCAGACTAAACAGTTGTAAACAAAATGAAAACCTGAATCCCTTCTGATCTATTTGAGGTTACTGGGGGAGACTGAAATTTGTGATTTCAGTATTTTCAGGTAAGTGCAACAGCAGTAAAATTAATTCAGGAAACCATTCCTACATAGGAAAAGCAACAGAAAGGAATATGTGCCCACTTTTAGTTCAGTTTCAGTAACATACTGGATTGCTAGTGGAGACACATTTGTAACAACATGCTGGACCCTGGAGTAGCAGCAGTGCAAGTTGTGTGTTCTTTTGGTGACTGAAAAAAATGAAGCAAAAACAGCAACACAAATAAAAAAACAAACCCACCTCAACATTTCAGGGACCAAAATATCTTAGCTGGCAGTACTATTCATTTAGTGAGCTTGAGTCACAGCTTTGTCTGCCAGTTTGCATCTTAACTGTGCAGTCTGAGCTCATGTTTTGATGCAAATGCGTTTTAAGTTCTGCACCACTTGCTACTTCATCTATCATCTCAAGGCTGCTTGCTATATAAATAAGTAATATTTTATTCTAAAGTAAAAATTTTGGGTTTTTTTTCTGTATTATAGTTGGGCCTTGCCAAGAGTTTTCTGTGGAAACAATCTTGTTAATGATAGTTGCATATTTCTATACATGATGCAGTTGAGTATCATCGCAGAACCAGGCACTGAGTAATCCTTAATGGTAGAGTTATTAGAAAGTATTAAACAGAAATGTGTGCTGTAATTACCATGCAGAACATAATCATTTCCATAGAGAGGCATTTTTCTGTATTAATTAATCCTTTTGTTTTAAAGGCAAAATAATCCTTTTTGCTCTATTTCTTCTCTTTTAGGTGTGTTACTTTCTTGCACTTGACTGTTGCTTTTCTCCCCTCTACTCCTCTATAACAATACTTCTGAAGTACAATAGATATTAGATTTTATCTCTGACAGTTTAGTGCAATATTTTCTCAACTTCTGATTGCTCAACGTGCTTTTAGTATGTGCTGTCTTTTGATCCTTCCCTAAAATTCTGTTGGTATTTTCAGTTCTCCAGCTTTCTAGCAGTCTGTTCTTTGGAGAAATTCTGGTCAGATTCTATCCCAGTGTTAATTTAACTATATGAAGACAATATTTTATGTGAATGAATAGTAGAGTCCTAGCTGTTTTTCTTTTTGAAAACTTCATACAGAATCTTATATTTTATTAATTTTCCCTATTTATTTAGGAGCTAAAGAATGCAGAAATAGCATTACGAACACAGAAAACTCCTCCTGGTCTTCAGCATGAAAACACAGCCCCAGCAGAGTGAGTTACTGTTATGCATAAAAATAGTCAATAATACAACCTGGAGAAAAGAAGCATCGAGGAGACCTTATTGCAGCCTTTCAGTACTTAAAAGTGGCTTGTAAAAAAGATGGGGACAGACTTTGTTGTGATAGGACAAGTGTAATGGTTTTAAACTGAAAGATGATAGATTCAGAGTAGATATAAGGAAGAAACTTCTTACAAGGAGGGTGGTGAAACAGTGGAAGAAGTTGCCTAGAGAGGCGGTAGATGCCCCATTGCTGTAAACATTCAAGGTCAGGTTGAACAGGGCTCTGAGCAACCTGACCTCATTGAAGATCTCCCTGCTTATGGCAGGGGTCTTGGACTACATGGCCCTGGAATGTCCCTTCCAACCCAACTGTTCTATGAACTTAACAATACCATTTTTTTCTTGCTCTTTGTATGGTTTGTGTGGAGTGCTTCAGAAATTAAGTGTAGAAATAAAACACTGATTCGATCTTTGTATTATAGACATGAGAAAGTCTTTGCTTTCATTCCAATAGTAGAGTGATGCAAGAATGTCATAGAATATAACCGTGCAATTAATTAAATGAAAATTGGTAGCTAATACAGATGAGATTAAAAATTATTGGCTAACTAGTGAAGTTTAATCATACGATTTCATTGTTTTACTCATCTAGCTACTTCAGAATCTTGGTTGAACAGTTTGAAGTACAGCTGCAGCAATACAGGCAACAAATAGAAGAGCTGGAAAATCATCTTGCTACTCAAGCAAATAGTTCACACATGACTCCACAAGGTAAATGTTTCAATTTTAATCTTTCGTACATAACGAATTAAGCAGTTACACCTATAAGCAAAACTTAGTAATTGTTCTCCTCTTTTGTTATTGTTGGCTCTTCTTATTTAATAAGTGTTCAGATAAATTCTGCTGTTGTTCAATGTAAAGATTTGGAATTGAAGGTTAAATTCATAAAGGTTCTTCAGCTTTTTATGTTCGTGAGGTGTGGATGTCAAAACAAATCAGGCTTACAAATCACATCTCCCTCCCTTCAGTATCTAGCTGGTGTGTGGTACCTTCTGTCTTGTACTGGGCTATCTGGCCAGGCAAAGGTGGGTGTCTGCTCTGCCAGCTCCATATCAAAATGGGAACTTTTCCTTAGTTTGAAGCCTGTTGGTATTGCCTTCAGCTCTCATCAGTTGAGGAAATGTAGTCTTGTTTTCTGCCACATCATTCAATCTTGAGAACATCTTTCTGGTCAAAGAATACTGACCTGTGGACAGTAGTCTTCTGGTTGGTTACCATTCCTGTGATCATAGACAATTTTCTCTTTTGGGACGTTTTAGGTAGGTACAGGTCCTGCAATAAGCAGTGATTTTGAGTGTGTGTCCTTTTGTGCTAAACAATACTTGAAATCTTGCCATCACAGGATGGTGTATAGACTCTGGACCTTAGATGTCAAAAAAAAAAAAAAAAAAAAGAGGACTGTCTAGACCTAGCTTCCAGAATGGAAGAGCCTCTGAATCCTGTGAGTCCTCTTTCTGTGTGACCTTCTCATCCATCAAGTGTATGAGAAGGATGCCTTCACAGAAATTCCTAATGTTCTTCAGCAGTTTCTGCTGTAATCAAAGGTTCCTTGCTTGTGTGGGCAAGGCTCAGTCTGTTGTGCCAGTATGCTCAGACTGTCAGCAAATGATCCAGTGATCTAGTCAACACTGTATTGCATATGTGGCCTTTACTATACAGGAAAAACTTCCTTTTCCGTGCAGGACTCCATGACTCAATGTCCTGAGAATTTTCAAGTGTCTAGTATTCAGTAGTATTCATGTCAATAAATTACCTCCAGACTCTGGAAACTTATGGCCAGTTTTCCTGGGTAGCACTTGGCTCCACAACCCTACAGGTTGGCATGAGATTGATGCAAAAGCTGATCTTTTCAGAATGAAAGACCACTTCAGCACTTTTCTGTCCTGTACTTTAGTGCATGGTTTCAGTCCTTCTTTGAGAAAAGTATTTTTTTGTTAGCAGATGCCTCATTTTGCCAAAACCTTGTGATATTTTCCCTTTAGTATTAAAGTTTGTCATTAGTTGGGTCAGTGCCCTGAAAATACTTTCATATCTGTGTGGGAAGTGGTATATCCTGAATATAAAACTTCTGTAGGCAAGAAGCTCCCTGTTGTGTTTCTCTGTTTATGAAATGCTTGTAGGTAGAGCTAGATTAAGAGTTCAGGTGATGCTTGTTGATTAGGTCTTTAAATAAAGCTTCCATTTCACTGTTAGCTTTGACAAAATCAACTGAACATTTAACTGAGCTTTAAGTCAGAAAGGGTAGAAAATACATACAAATGCAAGAAAATCTGATTTAACTGTATATAGGTAAAAGCCAGTGAGGTAAAAAATGTTCCTATGTAATTAGATTAAGTTAGTTTAAATGCTGTTTTTTAGCTTTGCTAAATGGTGGAATCATAGGAAACTATTGACCATAAACCTGAGAAAATAGTGCTTTTCAAATGAAGTTTGAAGCCCTTTCAAGAAGCAATCCTTGGCTGACCTGTGGCACCCAATTGCTGTCAAATTCTGTATTTCTTAAAGATGTTAACTTGTTCTCATGCAATTGTTTTTGTGCTTTGTGCTGTATGGGTTCTGGGTGAGCTTCTTACTTTGCTAGAAACGTAAAATCTTTTATTCTGGTAATGAGAATGTCACTTAGCAATATTTTATATGCCTCTTACAGATTTGTCTATGGCTATGCAGAAAATCTACCAAACATTTGTAGCTTTAGCCGCACAACTTCAATCAATACACGAAAATGTAAAGGTATGTTGTTTTAATCTGTTCCTGTGTATTTAGTGAAAGAACTAAGAGTCTTTTTTTGAAAATATGTTATATCCTCAGGTTTTCTTCTTTTTTCCCCTCCTCCCTTCTGTTAAATTGACTGCTTTTAATAATTTTCAAACTGTCCTGGAGAAATGCTTTGATTAAAAAAGAAACTTTTGTTCCACTAAACTCTAATTTGAAGTATTTACTGATAGTGATGATAGCAACTGACTGCAATCATTTGGGTTGCAAAATGTTTTTCATTTAACTCCTTTTCCTTCTAACTGTTGATCAGTTTTTGAAATGTCTGTCTTTGAGCTCATGCTTGTAGATTTTGATTATTTTTTTTTGCCCAGTGACCTCTTGATCTCAAGCAAAGTTCTAAATCTGCTCTTGCTCAAATAGGTAACAGGAAAATAAAAGTGGGTTTCTTTATATAATATTTTCAGTGTATTAAAGAATTTTGGTTAAAATTGTGTTCTGACTTGTTTTAATGTTTTTACAACCTCGTTTTCATGGAAAGTCATATGTATAAAAGAAACAAAAAAAAGTACTGTGATAAAATGCTTATGTATCAAAGGTCCTAGTTAAGCTTGTTTTTTCCATCATGGACTCTTGCTTGAATTTCCCATTTACAGTTCTGGATATGCTGACAATATGTCACTGTTCTACAATCCATAATTTTTCTTGACAACATCAGAACCCTTCTTTTTTTACCAAAAAAACCCCCAAACAAAACAAATTGGAGAAGACTATGGTGTTTGGTGTTGTTTCTGCTAAGTAACTTAATGGAAATGGCCCTGTTAAATCCTCTGTTTGTTTCCTTGTCTAAGCTTTTTTTGAACAGTATTACTAATTCTCTGAACATTGGAGGTTTTTACTTTTCCTGAATTAAGTTCAGGAATATTGAGGATCTTGTATGATCTAGATTCCGTGTGTTGTATTGCTTATGTCACTCACTGGTTTATAGCTCCCTCCCATCAGATATTTGTGCTGCTCTTAGTGAACTTGGGTTTGGTACCAGGTATGGAATATATCAACTCTTCCATATTTCAGTCAGATTACACAGAGTATCCCAGATGTATTCAGGGCTCTTCACTTTTGAGTGTAGCCTGAACTTGTGCAGTGGTTTTTGTGATGATACTTTTTTCTGTTCTTGTTTGTTTTCATGGTGGTGGTTGTTGGTTTGGGGTTTTGTTTTGGGTTTTTTTGGCATGTGGTTTATTTATAACTCAGTATCTCTTTCCTTATTAAGCTGAAGTTTTATGTCAAATACATGGAACTAAAATGTCTTCCTCCCACCCCCTTCAGATGCTCAAAGACCAATACCTTGGCTACAGGAAAAGCTTTCTGGGAGATGCCATGGATGTGTTTGAGGCAAGACGAACAGAAGCCAAGAAGTGGCAGAGCGCGCCACGTGTTACCACTGGACCAACCCCTTTCAGCAACATACCAAATGCTGCAGCTGTTGCGATGGCTGCAACACTTACTCAGCAGCAGCAGCCTGCTACAGGTCTGAGTGCATTCAAGTTATAGATTATTAGTGTTACAACAATAGTAAATTTGTGTTACATTTTCTATGAAGTCTTCCTTTGTGTTAGACTAAAAATCCAAACGTTGTGATGAGCAAAGTTACTGATACATAGCCAATAGAAAAATGCAGGGTAGACTTAGCAATAATTATACAACAGATATTTAATCTTGTGAATTTACTTGTATTAGTGATATTTACTGTATTGTTCTGATTTACCCCTTGGAATGTGAGTCTTCACTCTTAAGTAACATCTCTGAATACACATAGTATAGCCTCTTTCCAGAAATTGTATCGTTATAGTAAATTATTTTAAGTTGGCGAGGAGAGAATATCTAAATGCATATTATCTTTTCCTTATGTAAAATTAATAATGCATTTTTATATAGCACTTTGGAACTGTAAAATGAAAAATGCTGTAGAACAGGAAAGATAGTGAGTAAACATCTGTAGAATAGGAAGTCAGATGTCTGGCTTGTATCATAGCCAACTCCTTTGTCAGTGTGACATTGGAGCAGTTTTTGCTGGCCATTCTTCTGTTGTGATTTAGTAGTAGAGAAAGTAGAGTGGATCAGTGGCTCTGCATGTGTCTAAGAGGAAGACCAAAACAGGGGAAGTGCATGACCCACTGCTAATGAAGGATGGATATATATGGCAAAGGAAATAACTTAAGGCACCTTAATTGACATTGTTATGCTAACCAACCCTTTCTGAGAGGGATTCCAGAATGTAGAGAGTTGAATTAATACGTAATCATTGAAGAGAAATAATGTAAATTCATTTAATTTTACTTGAACATCGGTATGTGTCTGTCAGCAAATTAAGAAAAGCATAGGTAACTTCATTCTGCCATTTATTTTCTAAAATGTTGTTTATGATATGTGTCCTGCAAGTCTTGTTAGCTCCTTCTCTTGACTTAGAACAGCAGTCATATTTTGAATGGTTCCAATCAGAGACTTATGCAGCAACAACCTAAAGTTTGACAGATTATCAGCCTGTCCTTGCCTTTTCCATAAAAGGAAATTACAACGTGCTTCCAGCCCTGGCCCTGCTAAACAGCAAGGAGATGGGTTAAATGACAAATATGCCAAAATATTTTGAACATGACAAAAAAATGAAGTCTTTATGAAATACTTCTGTACTAAATTTCCATTAAAGACCATGGTCTTTGTGTTGCTGCTATGTTAATCCATGGAAATTTTAAAGTGACATCTGCAGAAGAGTCTGGGTTTAAATAGAAAATACAATGTAATGTCACACTTCAGGGTTTTTCATACAGACAGGAGTGTGGCTGGTGCGGCCTAATGTTGCCAAAGTAGTTCCTTCATCTTTTTTCTTGTCCTTTTTCTTTTTTTAAATACTCTCCACAGTCATTGCAAGATTATTTGTTTGTAAAAATCATATACTTGGGATGTCACATTTCAGGTCATTCCCGCATTTTCGTGAATTGAGGTGAGGGATTTGAAGTTCCTGAATTTCCTAGTGCAGATTCAGGGGAACTACTAATAACTTCAGTAAACTGATGCCACTTGTGGCATGACTTCACAAATATTCTCTCAGGAATAGGAGAGAAGAGAGGAGGAAAAAAAAAGGCAGAATTGGCCTGTGCCAACAGAACTGAGGTGAGGTGACTATACCTGGAGATATTTTGCAACATTATGTAGTGAAAGGAGCAAATGGGAGTGTGTGTAGGTTGGTTTGGGGGTGGTTGCTTTGGGGTTTTTGGCTGGTTGTTTTGTCAGAGTGTTTCAAAAGCCAAAAATGTGCCAACTACCAAGCTGATGCAGATAGAACAAAGCCTTTAACTTACATCAAACATGACAGCAAAAGCAGACAGCAATTTTTTTACTACTTACTCAATTGGAATACTTTGTCCTCTGTGCAACTTGCTTGAGGACCTGGAGAAATAGATTGATGTTTTGAGTGGCACTTCAAGAATACTTCAAACTTAGAAAATGGAGTTAGATGAAAAGAAGAGATACTATGAGTTCTGTCTAGCTCAAAAGTAGAATTAGTTCAGGCCTTAATTCTAAACTATTTCAGAGATATCTTGAAGTCTTAAAAGCTTGCTAGATGGGAGCATTTCCTAGTTTTCCTAAATTAATGATTTTGGTGCTTGACTTCCCAGCTTCAGATTAAATTTGCCACTCTTGTCTTATTTTTAGTGAAAAAGGAGAAGAATTTGTTTTTTCAGTTTTGTAGTAATCTTTAAGGACTGCCTCCTCTTCATTTCCTTTTCCTTGAGTTTTCAGGTGGTCAGATATTTGCTGCAGTAGAACTGCAAATGTTTGCATGTTTTAGCTTTGTATTATGTCATTATGAATTTGATAAGCTATCTGCTAGAAGTTAAAATCACACATTTCATTACCATATCTAGATCCTAAAGGGTGGGATAGATGTGGGATGGTGGAAGGTTGTGAGAGAAAAGGCTATGAAATGAGGTGTATATAAAGGGAGGATAAGGGGGTGTCTGTGTAATACTTGACCTGCTGTTGCTGTTCTTGAAGATAAGAATAAATCAAGAAAAATCAATCTGGCCTTTAAAGTTTTTTACTAAAATGTAATATATGGTACTCTAGTATTGAGGGATCAGGATGCTTAGTCTCTTTTTTAAAAAAAAAAAGTAAATTGATGTTTACATGGTTAAGTATTTCATAGGATTAATTTAGTGTTAGTTACTGTTCTTTCTCTGAAAAAGAGAAATAATTTATTTTAAACTTGTTTTCAGAAGGCAAAGGTTTTAGTAGCTACATCTAAGCTGTGGGATCAGGGGATGTCTCCCCAGTTCCTGGGTGTAGATCTGCACCCTGTGTTCTCTCTGTATGCCAAGACCAAGGCTTCTATTGAAATAAATAAAGGCAGTGGATCTTGGCTGTATGGGAAAGGGAGCAAAGATGCACTCCACTGGTCACCTGAGATGGATAGTTAGGACACCAGGACTGTGGTGTGCACATTGAAGCACAGTTTTTGTGCAGTTTTTTGAAGCTATTGTTATTAAAATTATGCTTAAGTTTTGTCTGCATACAACCTTTCTCCCAAGTTCAGCACTTTCATTCTGAGCACAGCTTTATTGGTAGCAGTGAGGCTGGACGTGCTTTGTGCTGTAGCAGCTAGTGTGTTAAGCACTGCCTCACCTGCACCTTTCCTGAATAATCTTGAACATCATGGAAGTTCAAATTATGGTGGCTAGTCTAGCTGTTATTAGTGATGGGACTACAGTAAAAGATTTTAAAGGAAATCAAAGCCTAGTGCACCGAGGCCTGTCAGTGCAGGAGGCTGTAACTGATGTTTTTTGGCGAAGTTTAAATTATCTTAAAGAAAATGCTTTTCTTCAAACCCACCTTTTCTCCTCTAAAAATACAGTACCCCCCCCCCCCCAACAACAACTTAGTTACTCTCTCCTTAACTGGTGAAGTGTACAGAGTTAGTTAGTCAAAGCATTAAAAAGCTGTTAGCACACTTTGTTTTGACTTGATGCAGTATGAGATTCAGGTGCTAATAGGAAAGAATACTGAAATCTCCACAGCACTTAAAATTTTTATTGTGTAGTTTGATATTATCTCTGTTACAATTAACCAGTGTGTTGCTTTGTCAGAATCAGATCTGCGTTGTGACACTAAATTTGTTCACTGTCAGGACCAGCTGCAAGTTAAAAAAATTGCAGTGGGTCAGTAGGAAATCTGGCTGACCTGTCTGGCCTCTCTGTCATGGGTCCTGTTTGTTAAACTGAAATGCTCTGCAGGGCAAACATTTCAAGTTTTAAAATGTTAAAATACTTGTTATAAAGAATTTGTCTTGTACCTATAATAGCCAGAAGTGCAATTCTTTTTGGGGTTTCTTTTGCTAGTACTTTTGTCATCAAAGAGCTGTACTAGCTTTTGGCTATTGAAGATTGTTTACTTGCAAGAACTATTAGTAGGGATGATACCTTCAGAACATTATGGTACAGAATCAACAACTATCAAATGCTGTTGCTCAATGAAAAGCTTGTTAGCCTAAGGCATAAGATCTTGTTTTATATGATCTGAGGTGTTTTAGTATAATATTTTTTACTGGCTCTAAAAAGCATGTTGCATTTGGTTAAAAGCTTGGCCTGGAGGACTGTAGTGTTTTGTTTATAAGGTCTTCCACTAACAGTGCCTCCTACTGAGATAGAAACCTGTGTACTTGAGAAAGAACTGGATATGTGTTTTGGGGTTCTTTTAGTTTCTTAGGTGACTGACTTGTATAGGGGGGTTTGGTTTTTTTACTGTTAACAATTTTTTTTCTTATTTTTAAAGAGCTGCTAGGTAGATGTATCAGTATTTAAACTGGATGTAAACAACTTTAGTTTGAAATTGATGTGAAAATTTGTGATTGCAACATCTAATATACTTATTTTAAGTCAAAAAAGTAGTCTGGGTTTCCCAGCTATTCCCTGCTAAGCAGAGACTGAAAGCTAACAACTTTAGTTGCCCTTAAAATATAGTTTTAACACTACTTTGAGTATACAGATGTCGTTCAGCTTGGACCACACAAGAATTTTGTGTTCCTAGCAAAAACTGTTACTTTCAATATACAGTGCCTTTCACTTGATTCAAAATGATTTTCCATTTAAATCTTCAAATACTAACATGATTTTAATAGCTTGAAATATTTACATTTTAAAACTATATATAAACATTAGTAACTGGAAACTTTGTAGTACAAAGGAAGAAATTTTGAATCAAAATAGCACAAATGTGATAATGCTTTAGGAAAACGGTTGAAATCATCTGAGCTTTATAGTAATATTGGAAAAAAAATCATCACTTTCACAGATACTGTATGTGAAGTATGTTCAAAGATGGAGAAGGCTATCTTGAGCAAAGATGTGGATGTCTGTGGATTAAGAGTTTGGCACTGTATTTTATCTTCAATGGTTAAACTTTTAAAATAGTGCACTGAAAACTGTTTGAAAAAGACAGGAATATAAGATTGTACTGTGAAAACTGTCAAAATATATTAATTATTTATCAGAATTAATTATTTTTAAATGTGTTAGTAATGGGCTAGCAAGTTGATTCTTTATTCCCCAAGGTGAAGGAAGAAAAAAGGAACTGAGGCTGTAAATTTCATCTTGGCAGACTGAAATTGTTTTTTGACAGTCCTGCATCTTAGTGTGAATATGCAGGGAAAGTACTGTCAACTTTTTTAAATTATGGAACAAAACTCTGACTCTGAAATTTTGAATGTATCTAATTCATTAAGGTACACAGAACTGTGCCTTTTGTAAATGCGTATTTAAACAGGTGGTTTGACTAGTTTACCTTACTGAATGGTGTTATGTAGCAGAGCTTAACAGAACTCAGTTATCACTTGTGTGGAAAAAAAAATGAATTGTCATGTTACTGTGTAATTGACTTGCTTCAAAATGAACAATAAATTTAATAAAATAAAGTCATTGTCTTGTTTTTTATCTTAGTGTTCTGTTTAAATTTGGATGGAATACTTGAGAGTAGTTTTGAAGAATACTATTTATTAATTTAGGTAATACAGTTTTAGTTACATTAGTGACAGTTCTTACGTTTTTGATTTGAAGGGTTTCCCTTATTCTGATTCCATTAATGCAGGTGACAAAATGTTGTTACCTAAGAGTTCTCTTGAGGTTTTGATTAATGTTTTAAATTTAAGGTGAGACTGGTTGACTTTTTAAAGTACTAAATTGTGTTCTAATCATAATTACTGATTTTGACTAGTCTCACCTTGTCAGTGGTTTCTGAGATTTTTACCAGGTGAGTGTAGAGCCAGACAGTTAAGTGAGAAATTTTGATGAGGTAAAATTTGGGATCTTAATGGGATTTGTTGAAAGCAATGATGTTCACATTATCAAATACTTGAATAAGTAAATAAAGGACCTCTTTACTATGAAAAGAGTAAGGCAAGTTTGTTCTCATTTTTTTTATACCAGGGCCACAGCCATCTCTGGGAGTTAGTTTTGGAACGCCATTCGGCTCAGGTATTGGCACTGGCTTGCAATCAAGTGGCTTAGGTTCTTCAAGCCTTGGAGGTACACTTTAACTTTTCTAATCTTTCATTGAATTATTATACAGCACATCTGAATCTCTTGCGAACCTTTAACTCCACTAAGAGGATGTTTCAGGAAAAGACCTTACAATTTGGTAGTCTGTGCTTTCCAGGCTTTGTCCTGCCTTGCAGAAGGAATTGCTAAGGCTGGTAAGCCATTGTAGTGAAAAGCCAGGATAAGATGATCACATAGAAGTTGTGCTCTTAAAGCTAGGGAATTATATCCAGTACATCCATTTGTAACTACAACTTGACTTAATTTTACAGATATGAAAGTTAGGCACCTGAGACATTAGCTCACCCAGCAGCTAATCCAAAGGTTTTCACCTACTAATTCTAGGGACTTATTTTCTGCTAAGTTAAGAATAAATGTTAAAAATTACTGGAGTTCTGGGATCCTGCTTGCTGAAACGTATTTGCTTTAGCTGTCACTCTGTCCCTCAGTGCTGAGGTGGAAGAAAATCCCTCCTTTGGCTGAAAAAACAGCGTTAGAAAGTGAGGGAAAAATACTTTAAAAATACTAATAGCACTGAGGATAATACTTCAGGAGGACACGTGACTGTGAAAGAGTAGGTGGTATTTAAAAACTTGATGTAGGCCTTTTCATTTAAATGTAATGAGTTCTCAGTAGTAGAACTGCAAGTAGAATTGAAGTGATTAGTAGAATCTCATCTGCATGTGAATTTCCTATCTGTATAGGTCAGGGATTCCTACAGGCATTAGTGTCCTCTGAAGCTTTTATAAGGTCTGCAAAGAAAATTGCAACATCTGCTGAGCACAAACATAACGTGGTTTTTCTTGTTGCATTCTGTCTTCTCTGCAGCCTCAGTCCACATTGCTACATTTTGCTTATGAGCCGAACATATGAATTGGTATTGTAATGTATTTAAAGTAACTAAAGATCACTCAGTCTTGGGGAGGTGATGTAACGTGAACATTACATGAGTTTTACCTTAAATGATCGCCTTGAAATTATCTTTAAATCTATCAATGTCCTTTCTCATCAGGTTTTAAGCTTTTTCAGATGAAACAAAGTCTGAACACCTAAACAAGAAAAAATGGAGAATAGTGGGCTAAAAGGAAATTACTTTTGAATTACCAGCTTTTCCCACAATGTTTTAAATGCCTTAAAAAAAAACACCCCACATAAAATTCTTCCAAATTCAACCAAAGAGGTTGTAGACTAAAGATTGTTTACCAGTCTTACCAATGGAAATAAACATTTTCAGTTGCTGCTAGTTTTGTTGGAAAAGCCTGAGAGGTATTATTTTTTCCTTAGTTCTCTGCTTAGGAAGGTATTTGCTTGCATTCCATCTATTCTGTATTAATTTGAAAAATGTCTTCTAACAAATCCATAAGACTACCTGATAGAACAAAGTGCAGAAGGATAAACAAATCTCTGCAAAGTTGCCTGTAGGTGTGTTCTTGGAAACAAATTAGCAGAATGATTACTGAAGTTTGTTTGGTTTTTTTGAGCAGGATGACTTTTGTTGTATACTGTGGAAACACCATTTTAATGGGGAAATTTACTCTCTTTCCTTGATTAATGTTCTGTGAATTTTGTCAGTGATAAACAGAGGCTTTTGCATTGAGGTATACAAGTTATGCAGCATAGATCCTATGTTTCATTAAATACTTGAAGATACCTTGCCTGACTGGTCAGTTGTGGATTTCAGCCTAGATAGGACAAGAGTTACATTTAAATGAGCTATCTTTATTCAAATTATACTTGCCATTATATACCCTTAAAACTCTCTTGATTTAAAGGTTTCTGAAAACTAGAGAATATTGCTTCTGATACGCTTCTGATAGTATGTTCAAGCCTTACTGGTTTTAAAATCTCAAAATAATTTCTGTAATGGAATGGTAAATGCTCAGTTTGCAGTAAACGAAAGGATCTTCCCTGACACTTGAAAGACGGGGACATAACTTCCTCAAATACTAATGCTGTTCTCTTTTAGAAAACCTCTTGAGACAGCTAGAATAAAAAAATATAGTTTTCTTACAGTTCCTACTGTCTGGCCTCTATCTCAAATAGCAGTTATCAATTTACTTTGAAGTGGTCATATCAATAACACGATTCGAAGTCTTAAATAACATATATTATGAAATTATAAACATGAGTTACAAAATGGTCCAAATGAGTTTTATTACAGCTATATGTTTATGGCTGCCCCTTATATGATGATTTTCCACATTAGACATTGTGAAAATATCTTTCCATTCCCTGTTTAACTTATTTTGTAGTTTGCTAGATAAAGCTGATCCCTGATAAGCCTAGGAGGCTCTAAAATAAGCCAAATGTAAACTGAAGAAAATGTTTGCTCTGTTTTAAGAGTAATTTTTCTCCTAAATTGTGGATGAAGATTGTGGCTCTTTAATAGAAGTGATATAACTTGTTTCTGAATTTTCTGACTTTTAGCCTGTTTGATTACCATTTTCTTGCCAATTTAACAGCAATTCAATACCAGTTTCTTAAACTCTAATAGTTTACCTGTTTTTATAGCTTTTCCTTTACTCAGTTTTCTATTTTGAAGGAAGTGTTTTTCTCTAATGCTTTCCAGTTTGCACTGTTTTCTTAACACAATGCTGTGTTGAGAATGAAATAGTCTTGAGGCAATAATCTTAGGAATATTTGTTTACCAAATAATGCTTAGAATTATGTTTGGTTTGAGAATACTTGCCCAAAACCTATGTGTCTTTAATTGCCGTGTCTGTAATTTTTTTTGTTGTATGTTTTTACTATTATTCTACTAGGATTTGGAAGTAGCTCTGCCTTTGGAAGTAGTGCCACAGGAGCATCATCATTTGGGTTTGGAACTACAAGTAAACCATCGGGAAGTCTAAGTGCAGGTTGGTTTGTTTCTTTTGAATTCAAAATTCAAGTTTATCTTAAAGCAGAAGTCTTATAATCAAACTGCTGCACTCAAAGAAGGCTACTGAAACAAATGTTCTCAAAGGTACATGTGTGTATCTCCGTTAAAGTAACTATTTACTTTCTAAATACACATTTTCAGATAAAGTTTTAGGTTCTGTTAAAGGTCACCTAGGTAGACAGTACTAATTGAGCATTAATGTTTGCCATTTGTTGGGGTCTGTCCACTTAGGAGTGAAAGCAGATCAGATGCATCAGGTTGAATCAGATGCAGTCTGAGGCACAGAAAAGCAGTTGCTACTTGAAAGCACAAACACCAGTCACTAAGCTATTGGAATTAGTGTAGAAATAGAAACTAATATATACCAAGTATGACAAATAGACCAGTAATTTGACTTACTGTGTTTGCAAGTAAAGTTAAAATTCTCTTCTGCAAGTCCAGAAGGTTTCCTTGAAAGTATATAACTGCTTACTCTTTCTATCAGAATAGTAAGTCACGCATATTGTGTCTCTGTGTATTGATAATTTAATATGTTAACTCATTTGGAAACATTCTTGGGGCAACTGAACTATGCAGTACTCATTTCACTTGTCTGGTTTCATTTTGTTGGGAGTGACAAAATTAAAATACAGATGTGATTGCTCCTTACTCAGATGTCTGAAATCTTATTAACTTCTATAGCTTACATCTCTATTTGGTTTTTAAACAAAGCTACTACTCCTATTTAATAGCTTAATTATTAAGCACATAGCTTACTAAAGGCTGTCTTAGTCTTTCTTCAGTGGCAGATTGAAGTGGGATCATGTCTCCTGGGATTGGCTTTTTGTAGCATGTTTCTCTTTTAAAAGCAAAATGTTTGTTTAACTGCTATTAATAAGAAAATAGCATTTTGCTGGTATTTATTAGGAAGTGCTATGCTTTTTGGTCTGGGTTTTCCTTGGTTAGTGATGATCTGTGAGGCCTGTAAAGTACTGTAAACTTTGTAATATAAGGTAGAAATGGCTCACTAAGCTGTGTAATATTCATGAATCTGTAACAACCTAGTAAGTTCTTGATAGAACTCTCTCTGATTTTTACAGTATACAATGTCTAAGCATCAGCCTTCTTTTACTTAGTTTTTAATATCAGAAACAATTGGAAGATTTACAGTTTGTTTTTATCTTTATTATGTCAAGCTACTAAAAGATGAAGTTCATAATTTAATTTTCACCATATTAAACATATAATTAGAAAATTATTGTATGGATCAGTTGCCCATCACTAATGAAATATCTAACCAAAGTAAATATGACGTCTGCCTTAGCTATGCTGGTGGAGTGCAGAGGCAGTTTCGGTATCATTTCCCTGTATTCCTCAAACCAGGATTTATCATGGTGTCAGTGCCACCAGTCTCTCTTTCGCAAGTGTGGGAATTGGAGCTAATAAAATGAAGATCATTTTCAGTTGTCTCAAGGGTTTCACCTAAGGGATGTGGTAACCAGGGATTAAAAAAAAAAGAAATGTAATTTCTGTCATTTTGTGCTTTATAAAATTAAGTGGTCATGAAATCCTGATCTGGACTGAGATTATGGAATAGAAACCTGTATTAAAAATTTGGTAGCCCAGAAGCACATTAACATTTGCTTTTTATATCCAAAATCCTATGTTGTATAGCATCTGGACTGCATATGATTTTTAGTTTAATTTTATTGAGGATGTATAAATGGGTTTGAATGGATGATGCCTGAGGCTAGCCAGGTTATGTAGTTTTTTAAATTTTAATGTGTCCTGTTTCTTAGATAACATTTACAGGATCATGAAAGAATATTCTGCTTTATATTACTGTGTAATAGTTGTCTTGTTTCTGAATCTCTTTCTGCTGAAAAAGCTAGGAAAATTGGGTGAATATGGGTTATGGGATTTACTGTTGGTTGTTGCCGCTTGTGTTTAGATACGAGCGCTGAAGTGTTTTCCCAGACTAATGTCTAGTAAGCATTCTGACACCCTGCTCTTCTAGGCTGCTTGGATAATGCCCCAGGTCACCTCCACATGTTTTCCATCAGTTTGTTCTTATCTTAGAATGAAAATTATAGTTCCCCAAATTGCTTCTGTCAAGCGTTTAAGTTTTATGAGTTAGATTTAATTGCTTTAAAAGATTTGAAAATGTTCCTAGTGCGATTACTGCTCTTCTCAATTTCAGTTTGTGTGTTTGAAGAGAAAATTTTGAGTCCTCTGCGAGTACTTGAGCATCTTCTATTAGTCAATTTGGCCTGTTCCAGGAGCAGTCGTTGTGCCCACTGAATCAGTAGATGAAGAGCAGAGCAGCTTGAGTCTTGCAGTTCCTTTAGTGCACACAATTGTGAGATGAACAGTTGCAATTATTATCCAAGCTGGTTGTGCATAACTGATACAAATTCATAAAAGAAAGTGAAATCAATTGGTGTTACCTTTGCTGGAAACTGCAGGCAGACTTTCTTCCTATGGTCTAGTTTCATAGATGAACCAAATGTTCAGTTTGTTTACCTTGATAGAAGATGGCAAAGTAGTAAAATAGCACAACTTGCTCACATGATCATTCAGTTTTTCCAAAGCTTTGTTTCCAGTGCTGCTTTTTGGTTTAAGTCATAAAGGGTGTTTTCAAATGCAAATAATTTGGCAAGGGTTTTGAAGCTTTTCTGCCTCACATTTGAGAGTGTGGTCTCTGTGCCACCTATGTTACAAAGACAGGCAAAGGTAGCCAAGTCAGTAAAGAAGACTGGACACTGACTCCAGCTGAAGTTATGGGACACAGTCTGCCTGTACCTTCTGCCTTCCCTCCCACCTTAAGAGTGCAGTGCATATTTACACTGAGAACCTGAGGCATTATGGTTCTTCTGTTGTACAATTTCAGTGGGACTTTTGCGTGCTGATGATAGGTGGATAAGGGTATAATAGACTTGTGATTTAGGCTGTGTTTACACTCACTGAGGCAGACTATGTTAGTGCTGGAATATCCAAGTTGTCATGGCAGGCCCAAGTGCAATGTGTCTTATCATTGTAGATCCATGTTAGTATAAAGTATTGCAAATGCTGGTAATAAAGTGGCTGCTGTTCATAACTTCAAGGAGAATAAACTTGCAATCCTGATATAACTTATGTTTTAAAATATCTTTCCCTCCCTCACAAGGCTTTGGGAGCTCTACTACATCTGGGTTTAACTTCAGCAATCCTGGCATCACAGCATCAGCTGGCCTGACGTTCGGGGTGTCTAATCCTGCGTCTGCAGGCTTTGGGACAGGAGGGCAACTTCTTCAGCTGAAGAAACCTCCAGCTGGAAACAAGCGAGGGAAAAGATAGGCATCCCTTTTTAGGGAAGGGGAAGCACATCAACTTTGTTCATCTGAAAAGTCTATTTTTCTAGATTGATGCATTAATTAAATTGCATCCCAGGAGATTTATAAAAATTTTGCTACTTTTCCCTAGTCTGAAATACAAAATGAAGTCATACTGAACAGCTATTTTCTTGTGAATAGAAACCTGTTTATGTATTTTTATTTTGGGCCCTAGTTTTAGAAATGTTCTATACTGCATTATTATTAAAGAATCTTGTAAAATCATCTATTTAACCTAATGTTAGTAGCAGAATATTTTTTGTTAATAAGCTTTATACCATATGAATATATGCATATTTGGTTTTTTGTACAGAAAAAATATATTCTAGTACAAATACTAGAGTTCATATCTTCTGTTCCTGGATATGGCCTTTAAATCTACTTCAGGGTGTTTTTGTGTATATGGATGTAAATATATACAGTACAGTGCACACATCTGTGTGTATGTATGTGTATATATATATGTATAAAACACAGATGTGCATACCTTTCCCCACAGACAGATCTCCTTTCCTTGTGTGTTCTGTTTCTCCATGTTGCTCTGTGGTCCCACATTTGGTGTTCCTAGGAGCTTCCACGAGTGGGTCCTGGGCTATGTCATCATTGCTTCTTGTGTTTTGTTGTTTGAAACCAACTGAAATACAATATTTACTATTTCATTAAGTTTGGTAGATAGTAGTTAGTAGCTGTTTTGTTTTTTGGGGTTTTTTTACCCTTTTTCTTGGCCCGTTTAGCAGCCAACTCTAAAGAACAATCTGAGATTTCAACACAGACATTTCATAGGTAATGCTCCCAAACCATTTGCGTTTGGTTTTATTTCCCAGAGCTGAAGAGTAGGACATTGCAGGATTTCAGCTGAAAGCTCAGGATGCCACAAGGTCTGTGTGCAAGCAGAGAGTTGTCAGGCTGGGTGAGCTTTTCCCTGCAACTGAGGGAAATAGAATAGGCTGTTCTAATTAGCTATTATAAACTTGATATGATTCACTAGTTCTCATCAGCTGCTACCACTGACTTATAAGCAGTTGTGTATCTGCTTTCAATATGAGGTGAAAAATTATGTAATTTGAAGGTTAAAGTTATTGCAACAGTACTTTATGAATCTTACACATTACAACATTATAGCTTGTTGTGCTGCCTCTCCAGTTTGGTGTGCACTAGGAATATATGGGGAAATATCTTGAGGAGGAAATAGTAGATCAATTGAATCTTTGCAAATAACAATACCAGGGTGAAGTGTGAGCATGAAACTTTGGAGCCAAGTTGCTTTTTAGGTAGAGATTTTGTCATTTTTTTCCTATTGTTAAAGTGTTATTACCATTTTGTATGTTTTGGAAGTTTCTGCATTCAGCAGTGATTGCTCTTCGACAAATGTTCAGTTTGTCACTTGATCTGATAAAATTAAGGGAAACTGAGCACAGGATTCTTCACTTTTTGTAACTTGTGTGTTATTGCATCTTTGTGAGCAATCTCTTTGGAAGGGATATAATGTGGTTTTTTTAATGTCACAGAAAAATAAAGCTTACGGTTTATTTTGATTTCAGTCTGTTTTTAAATTTTTATTGGGCTGCAGTCAAAACTGTAATGTTTGTATTTTTTGTTACTGTTTTTTTTAATAGTTGATATGTTAAACCACTGGACTCTTATAATGTATTAATTTGTGAAACTAATTCTAAATGTGTACTGTTTGTCCATATGTGCAACTTACCAATGTGCAAACAATAAAACAATAATGCTGTGATCCTTGTAATACATATTTGCCTATCTGAAAGATCATTTCCTGCCGTTCTCCTGTGTTAGAGGAGAAACAAAAACTGCATGGGCCAATATGTAGAATTGTTTTTCCTAGAATTTATATGGTGCAAAATTGTTCTTATTGAAGTTAGGGCCTTGATCTCTGGATTGAAAGGGGAGGTGGGATGAAGGGAGGTATTGTGTTGGGGGTTTGTCTAGAATCTCTTCACAGCATGCTATATAAACCTGGATCGTGCTCTAATGCAACACAGCACTGGGTATGGCTTTGTAAATGGGAAAGCAGCCTGAGCCTCCTGGGTATTTGTGCTTTGTTTCCTTTGACATTAAAGCAACAGTTATGTCCTTAATTTAGCCTTAGTGAAAAGGGATTATATAATAGAATAATCATATGCTGGAGTACAAGGTAAAGTCAAAATGGGATTTGAAATAATTATATTCTGAGAATATTGCTTGGATGGTTGAAATTAACTCTTTATTCAGGGATCAGCATTGTAAACGCCGTTTCAAATTATTTATTTCCCTCCAATGTAAAGACATGTAATATGATTAGAGTGCAAAATACAAATGCATTCAAGGTGTGGCATGGTTTTCTATAAAGCAGGTTAAGAAGCTGTGACCTATACTTAAACATCATGAAATTAAATCAAGTCTGGATTATCTGTTCTGTAAAGAAAGAAAGGTATGTACTGGAGGAAGGTTGAACTTACATGTGTAAGTTGTGGTTCCCTGTTAGTTTTTATCTTGTTGTACAGCTGTAGTGTAAACTTGTGTTTGTGACCTCTTTCTTTTACTGGATTAACTTGTTTTTCAGTGTTCTCCCCACAGCAGAAGGAGGGATAACATTGTGCCTTAGATTGCTTGTTTCAGGAACCTCTTCCTGGTCCAGAACTTGCTTTGTGCTCACATTTGTTTCTGTTCCTGACGAGTTGGTTAGCTAGATACTACACTTACTGCTTTCTTCTAGATTGTGAGGGAGAAGGTTGGAATAAGGTGGAGTGAGACAGAGTTTATTCATCTTCTTCACTCAAAAAAAATCCAAATCCAGCTATACCCCTCAACCTATGTATTCATAACATAACTGCATTTTGAACCTTTAATGCTTTTGTAGCATCATTTTTTAAATTAAAATAAGGTTCAGTAATACAGTTTTAGTGGCCTTTTTTCCCCTCTTTGATGTCAGTGGTGATACTTTGGTTTTTTGCAGTCCACTACTCATGATAACAGTAGAAATAATCCAGCGCCAGTCATGTCAGCTCTCCTTCATGTTACTGGTTATACCTGTTATACCTATTCTCAGCAGAAGATACGAAAGAAGCACCTTGTAGGTGGTTCTTAATAAGAAATTAAGAGTAGCTATATAGAAAAATCTGATCTCTACTGTAGAGTGTAAATACCTTAGGCTTTGTATGAGGTTTGCTTTCCTAAAAGACCTGGCTATGTGCAAAAATTTCCAGAAATAAATTCCATAGTTTTTAGGCTAATTGCTGGGATTGTGCTGTCAGGCTGTTTCCCTCTTCCCTCTCATTAAGTACCTTTCACTGCTGTGGCTGCTGCCTCCAGACACCAATGGATGCTTAAAGTTTCACAGCAGACTGGTACAAGTTCTTGTGAAAATCAGCACTTGGGTTTGGGGAGGGAAATGACACAGCAGGTCTGGAAGGCAGTGGTTACCTGCTGCAGCAGTATCTATGGACCTCCAGCCCAGCTGTGACATACCATCTCCACCCAACCAGACTGGTAGATTGCTTAAAAGGAGGATGGAGGTGTTGAGGGGGGAGAGGTGAAGAGATGTAGAGCACAAGGCTTTCTGCAGTGAATGGGACAACTCAGTTCAGTTTGGGATCATTTCGTCTGAACTCAATGTTGAATATTTACATCCTGGTATTTTTCTAGTCCCAAATCAACTGAGTCTGTGATGTAATTTTTTTGTATTGACTGAATGTTGCATTTAGTAGGTAGAAATAGATTGTCGTAGCAGTTTTATTTTCTATGTGGGTGACTTTTTAGGGAAAAAAAGATTAATAACCAAATGAATTTAAAAAAACACCAGGAACACCAAAATCGAGAGAGTCCTACCACGATTCCAGTAACTCTGTTGGAGAATGCTGCTTTCACCAGGAAGCAGGAGGCTGTCAGTTACGTACAGCCACCACAAAGACTTTACAGGTGTAGCTGTCATGCAGCATGCATAGGGAAATGATCAGTGATCCTCTGTGCCACTTAGACACCTGCAAATCAGTGGGGCCAATGGGATTCACCCAAGGATACTGAAGGAGCTGGCAGAGGATCTGGCCAAGGCACTTTCTGTTCACCAGCAGCCCTGGCCTACTGGGGAGGTCCCACTTGATTGGAGGTGAGCGGATGTGACATCCCTCTGCAAGAGGGGCAAGAAGGAAGTTCTGGGGAACTACAGGCCTGTCAGCCTGACCTTGGTGCCAGGGAAAGTCATGGAGCAGATCGTCTTGAGTGCCATCATGCAGCATGTGCAGGACAACCAGGGAATCAGCCCCAGACAGCACGGATTTGTGAAAGCAGAACCTGTTTCACCAACCTGATCTCCTTTGGTGACAAGGTGTGACAAGCTTAGTGGATTAGTGAGAGGCTGTGGATGTAAAAGGCCTGGACTTCAGTCAGGCTTTTACACTGTCTCCCATGGGATTTTCCTGGTGAAACTGGCTGATCATGGCTTGGATGGGTACACTTGTATCAGCAATATTGCAGCCAGCAGGGTCAGGGCAGTGATTGTCCCCCTGTGCTGAACATGGGGGAAGCTGCACCTCATCCTGTGTTCAGTTTTGGGCCCCTCACTGCAAGAAGGACACTGAGGAGCTGGAGCATGTCTAGAGAAGGGCAATGGAGGTGGTGCAGGATTTGTAGCACGAGTCTTAGGAGCAGCTGGGGGTGTTTAGCCTGGAGAAAAGGAGGCTCAGGGGTGACCTTATCACTCCCTACAACTACCTGAAAAGAGGTTGTAGTGATGTGGTGGTTGGTCTTTTCTCCCAGGTAACAAGCAACACGTCAAGAGGAAATGGCCTCTAGTAGTGCCAGGGGAGGTTTAGACTGGATGTTAGGAAAAATTTCTTCACTGAAAGGCTTGTTGTCAAGTGTTGGAACAGGCTGCCCAGGGAAGTGGTTGAGTCGCCATTCCTGAAAGTGAATGAATCTAAAAACAATGTAGACATTGCGCTCAGGGACATGTTAGTGGTGAACGTGGCTGTGCTAGGATAATGGTCAGACTTGATAATCTTTCCAGTCTAAACAATTCTATGACAAACAAAAGGTATGTTACCTTTGTTTCCTTGTCATTAACATTTTCTGACACACTTTCTTTTTTTTTAACATGGTAAAATTTTGTTAAACTTCAACGTTTGAGCAATCCTTCTGACCCATTTGACTCCTGTTGCTAGGAGGTTTATTACTTTATGCTTTTTTACTCAGCCCCAGGAATGTAATCTGTATAGCCCATGGCTGCAGTTAAATGCCACAGTGAGGAGGTGAGAGAGCTACATGGTTCCTCAACTTCGATAACTTCTCCAACGAATGGTTTGCTTTCTGCTTTCTCACCTTTTAGAAAGCAATTATAAAGCTTATTGTGAGCATGTTACAACTAAGTTTAGAAGCTTCTACAAACTAGAAGAGCTTCGGTGTTGATTTTACTTTTGTTTGAATATAGATCAACCCCCCTAGGATATCCATTGTATGGAAAATTTGGAATATATACTTCTGCCCTAAACAGGTCAATAGCT